TTTAATCCCTCTTTACTTCTGTACTAACATTTCATCACTACTGTATGACTTTCTTTTACATTCCCATTCTCCCTCTTTTCACTTCTTTTCCCACATGGTAATCACACACTCTGGTTTTTCTCCTGTGATTAACCAAATTCTCTCTCTTCTGACTTACTTTTCCCCTTGCTTTCTCAACATATTCTCAACATACCTTAACTTTCTTCTTGGGTGACTTTTCTCTTACCCACATACTTGGTCTTTCCCCATCATATGTATGGTTCCAGGTTTTTCCTGAATTATCCTCTTTTTCCTTTTATTTGAAACCTGTAAAGATTATTTCTCTCAACACTAACAGCTACACACATTCTTTTGGCTAGCCATACACACATTCAAGTTTTCAGGAAATGCAAACAAACATTTTCCCTTTTTCCCAAAAGACAGACACATATTTCACATATATTTTTCTTTTCTCTTTTCCTTTTTTTTTCTCATTTCATCATCATTTCTTTTTTTCTTTTGGCTTTTTCTCGGAAGCCTATAACCATTAGTCTCTTTTCATTTTGAACATACTGACATTTAACAAAGAAACAAAGCAAAAACAGAAACAAACATACGGTTGCAAAGCAGCTAGAAGGGACAATGCATATAGACACATCCAGATTCCACAATACACAACACATAGGATCAACATAACAATGTTTCCAACCTGAACACTTTTTCCCTTTTTTAAAAAGTGCACTTTTCCCAACCTAGGAGTGAGCCTTCTGTGGTGAAAGCGACACTCAGGGGTTTTTTTTTTTTCTTGAGGTCTGCAGTACCTCTTTTGAAAAAAACTGTTCCCCCAAAAATGTTTCCCCAGGCATTTCCACAAATGCCTATACCTTAAAAAGCTAGCTTCTCCCTTTTTCTGGAACTGCAGCTGTTACTTCTCAATGCACTTCAGTCAAGGGGCCGAGGAAGGAACAGGCCAGTGGAGGCGATTTTTTTCTTGTGGGTACCCTTTTTCGTCTCCCCTGATCCATGCCTTGTCCGGCCCACCGAGTGAGAGGCATCAGCCCCCAAAAGCTTACCTTTCCTTCTTCCTGTTCTCCAGCCCCACGTTGGGCGCCATTTTGTAGCGGGGAGGGTCCCCAATTTCCAATAATCCAGGAGATCGAAGAAGAAGGAAGAGACAGAGACAGCTTT